TAATGTTAGAAATAACAAGGACGTTATTAGTCATCTCGCACTTTGTTCCCTGTAATGCTGAAACTTTCCTGCATGAAGTTACAAGAAGAGGTACATATATCTAAAATATCATGAGAGAGCTCATGATGGTGAGGAGGTACACTGGTGTGTTTTTTTCAGCATGCTGGAAGTCTCGGGACACGCCAGGCATTATCTGGGAGGCGAGGCTGGGGCTGCAGCATTCCCATTATGTCAGAGGGGAGCTGTTTGGTTTTAAGTAGCGTCAGGCACTGAGACAATGCAGGCTTCTCACATGAACTTGCTTACACTACAATACTAGTAAATCATGATTATTACCCAATGGTTGCGTGTTTTTAATCATCAAAGTAGTTAAAATATTATAATAATGCTTGGCACTTTTCAACTTCAAAGCACGCTGCAAACAGTAATTAGGTCTAATAACCATGCTGTGACAGTGAGACATTGCTATCTCCTGTCTGACAAAGGCGAGGGGGGGGTGCTAGACCCCGACTCGGTTGCATCATCCCAGTGAGACTGGAAATCTACCACTGAAGGCTGTGACTTGATAAACTCACCTCCCTGTAGGCAAATACCCCACTGCCAGCAGCGGCAGGGAGGGCTTTGAAGATGCTTTCCGGGCTAGTGGGGAGGGGACGGGACGGGACAGTTTCAGCACTCTTCTTTAACACCTTCTAAAACCGTAAAACTCTGTCTCATTCACGCTTTGTTCCATGAGGGCCTGGAGCAGCTTTTGAAACAGCATTGGAAAAAGTTTTACCCCATTTTGGCTTCCTGGCTGGTGTGTTTTCACCACCCAGCAAAGTGTTGTGGAGACTGGAGAGAATAGTTGTGGACAGCCTGTGTCAACTGTGGGTCCTTTTTCCTTTTGCAAGCTGAATCTCTGAGCTGAGTCCTTTGCTAAAGCAGCAGCTTTCCTGTTCCTTCCTTTTATTTTGCAACACATAGGGGAGAAAAATAGTACAGGAAGTAATTTAGATGCATTTAAAGACCAGAGACTCATACACTGGTTAAAAGTGTAAAATTATGTTAAAAGCCAAGAGCTGATTCTGATTTTATATAATTTTTTTTAAATTCCAAAAGCCAGCTTTCTTTTGGATGTTTGTCATGTTGGTTGCAAGCACCAGTTGTGACCGTTCCTTGGGACAGAGTGATTTCTAGCTTGCATTTTATTAACTGCTAGATTGTCTCCATGAAGCTTTGCACTCTTTGCTGGAGCATTTATGAGGTCTCTGCCTCCCACCTGAGGTGGTGGAACCACCTTATCCTGGTGCTCGCTACCCCCCAATGTGTGGGTGTCAGTCAAGAAATGTGAATGTTATTTGCAGCAAGCATTTGTTGTCACCATGAGTGCATCTCATTTCCTACAGTAAAAGAAAGCTCTAAAGAGCACTCAGGGAAAAAAATTCTATAAAAGCTGGTGGTGCCTGCGTGTGAGCTGCAGGCTGGGTGGCTCCAGCCCCGTGCTGTGGTCCCCCTGCACGTTCCCGGCTGACCTGCCGCTCTTCTGGCCAGTGTGAAACAGTCTTGGCCTCGCTGCTGCTGAAAACTGGTCTGACAGGGCGGGTGTGCCAAAGTGGGTATCCAGCAGGAGGAGGAAAGAAGTACAGTGTGTGTGAAACCCTGTACTTGTGAACTCTGCGCTAGGCTGCTCGTTATAACTGCTCATTATTATTATAATGAGCTGTCGGCAAGTTGCATCAAGTTTTGTCAGAAACTCTTGACTTTTGTTTCAGTATTTTGAAAGCAAATAGTAACGTGGGCTTGGCTATACGCGGTCATTCAAAGGAAAGCCAGGCAGCAGGTTCCCTGTACCAGTGGGCAGGATGGTATTACTTTGCCTAGCTGGCCGGGCGAAAGCAGCAGTGTTTTTTTTAACTGGTAATCTCTGCCTGATTGGCGATAATGGGTTACAGCTACACAGAACAGGCTGGTGCTGTGCAGGCCCCCGAGTCACTCCAGGACCTTGAGAGGTGAAACCGCCTTGTCCAGTGCGGCCAGGCTCAGGTGGGGACCCGGACCTGGGGACACTGCCTGCCCTGCCGCGGGGCTGCCCTGGGCTGGGAGGTACCCGCACTGCATCTCCCTGGCTGCCACTGCCAGCACTCTTTCTCTTGGTTGCAGTTTTCACATGATGCCCAGGCGCTCACAGAGTTTGGTGTTTGGCCATGTTCAATGCTGTCATTTAGGAAACTCTTCTGGAGGGCAAATGCTTTCTCCTTCATTTCTAAAATGCAGCGTGTAGCAGCCAGCGTAGTGCAGCCATGGCAGTTTGTGCGATAACTTGCTGTTTCTTGTTTATGAGATGATTATTGTACGATCCCCAAATGAAATTCCTCTAAGGTAAAAGGCCTGTCTATCTTACTAATTATTGCTATTAATAGTAATTATCATGTGAGCAAGCTGCTTACCTGCCCTATGAGTTTAGGCAAGTCAGTTCCATAATAGGTGGCTCGGTTTTTTTCAGCTGTAAAATGGGGAAAATGATATTTTTCCTCAGATTTGAGAGGTGTTGCTCTGCGAGTGTGGTGTAAAACAGAGATGTTTTCACCACACTGGCTGTAGGGAAGGGGGGAAGCTGTCTGTGTTGGGCAGGTGGGGGGGCTTGCGGAGCCGGCTGTGAGCCCGGGCTCACAGGTTGTACCAGGGCTGAGGTGGAGGCTCACAGCTCGGCTGTGCAGGAGGCTGTTCGTGTCACAGGGCAGTCAGCTGCCAAACGCATCTTGATAACACAAGCATCTTTAAGAGCCAGTCTGAAATGTTGGTTTTACCCTGTGCTTTGGGTCGTAGGCTTCCCTCTCCTTCCCAGTCCAGGAAAGCTCTGACCCTGCTGGCTTCTGCTGGTGGTGCTGTGCTAAAGAAGTAACAGGAGCAGAATTTGGGGCATTTCCATCAACCTGAGCACTGCCAGGCTCTGAACCCTGGGATACAAAGCGGGATGTACGGGTCCTCGTGCACCTTCTGCAGTGCCTTGGGAGATGCTGACGGCACCCTGAAATAGGGTGTTCCTTTCCTGCAGACATCCTTCCAGCAACAGAGCTCAGGATTTGTTCCTGATCATCTCTGCTGCTTCTAAGCATAACAGGAGTGTGGTGAGCGTGATGGCCAGCGCTTCTCCACCTGAAACAAGCGCCCCAGCTCTGCAGTGATGGTGCGTGTGAGCAAGGTGGAAGTGCTGCATCAGCACATCCCAGGCAAGTCCCTGTTCTGGGCGCAGCCAATTCATCTCCACCTTCTAAAGACAAGTTGTGTATTAAGGCAGAGCCAACGTGTCCTTTAAAAAGCCATTTTGTCCTCTCTCCTTCCCTCCATTCCATTTACTTTTCCTTTATCTTTCACTGGAGAGGTTTAAAAACAGCTTGGGTAAGCCGGAGGGAAGATCTAGAGGTGGTTGCTCCTGCATCAGTTTAGAGAGACCCCGTGACCCCCGGTTGCTGTCCCAGCCCTGTGCCTTGTTTCGGTGATGTGTAGGATGGAGCAGTTTTACCTAAGACTCTCAGAGGAGATGGGATGGTCTCAGTGCATTGCCCACGCCAACAGGCTCCTGGTCCCCACCAGAGCTACCAGGCAGCTGGAAAGACAAACAAGAGCTGACTCCACCTACCAGCAGTATGGAGACAGCAGCCCGTGAGATCGACAGCCCAAGAATGTGCACACAAAAGAAGCATTTCCCTCGGCCACGACAGTAAAACCGCCAGACAACCACATGCAGCATGTGATTTCCCAAAAGCATCAGCCCAGATCCCAACTTCTTTGTGCCACACACTGTTTCCCAGGATCGGATCACGGTGGCAACGTGTAAAAGGCACTTTCAAGCACTGAAAATTAATCATATTTTCCTCAACATTGTTTATGGAAACCGTGGAGAGCACTCCTTCCCCTCTGTGCTTGGCCAGCTGGCTCAGCGTGCCGGCCCTCGGAGTCAAACCTCCACAGAGATCGTCGGTGTTTATGGCGGAGCTACTCTGCCTTGGTAGGAGACATCCAGGCTCGTTCTGTGGAGTAAAAGCTTCGGCAGTGACCTGGGAGGGCTCGTCTGTTGAGCGGTAGATACAGAGCCTCTTGCCCTCTGCTTGGCAGGGCTGCAAACGGCTTGTGGGAGCGCCCAGGTGTGTGGGGGTTTGTCCAGTGGGACCCTGGCGCAGAGTGGAAATAAGGTGAGTCAGGATGAGTGAGGTTTCCCATCCTGCTGTCTGGTTTTACACTGATAAAATGGTGTTGCTTTCATTGGAGCAGCCCTGGTATCCGCTGTATCTAAAAGCTGGTTGGGCTCAGTGGTTTTTTAATTCCTCGTTTCAGTCCTTTTTGTTGGGACTCTCGGGAGTCTGCTGTGCGTTTTGTAGCTGTAAAGGGAGCCATCGGTTCACGGTGATTGCAGGCTTTGTCAGTGGAGTTCCGCAAGCACTAATGAAATGGCAAATGTTCAAACTTGAAAAGGAAATACCTTGTTTTCACTGTGATTCCTGCCCTTCTCTCTGTCATGTGTGCCTTGTACTGCTTTGGTGTCCCAGGGAGCTGTGGGTGTAGCTGCTGTGGCATTGATTAATGTACTAATATTTTTAAAGGTGACAGGAACATCCATATGCTGTATCCCTTGTTTGGTCCTTTGGAGACAAGCATATGGCTGATGTTGATTGCAGAGAATGTGTGCCTGCTGTGATTTCACCTGCTAGGAAAATTGTCTCAATTTCTAAATGAGCCTTTCCCCCCAGAATAATAATTTTGGGATTAGGTTTCAAATTTTCTAGGAACTGGTATCAGCTGTGTTCCGTAATCTGCATTTAGAAGTAACATTTAGCTGATAAGGAATTTGTTAAGGCAGGATAGAGCTGGGAGCCTAACCCTCACCTGTGTCTCTGGGGAGGAGAGGGCAGGAGCTGGCCACGCACACGGGTGCAGCAGCGCGTGCGTCTCACCATGCATCCGGAACAACTGGGTTTGGGGACGGAGCACAAAATTCTGACGGTACCGTATCTTGACAGGGAGAAGACTACGAGGAAAAGCATTCTACAATGTCAATGGCAAGGTGTACTGTGAAGAAGACTTCCTAGTAAGTAAGATTTGCAGGCATTTTTTTAATTGTTTTTAAATCAAATCATTCTTTTGTATCGGCTTGTTTGCTTTGAGAGGCGGTTTAGTCATCTGGGGCTGCCTGCCAGTGCTGGAGTTGGGAAGCATTTACCACTAACTCCATAAAGGCAGGATCAGGCCGTTGGTTTGAAGTGGTGGCTATGAAACCAAGTACATAACTGTCCATAAGCCATCACAAAGTGTAAATTATGAGAATAAACACTGGAGCTGCTCAAGCTTGGGACTTGAATTGCAGCCACAAAGCCTCGCCTGCCAAGCTGGAGCTCAAAGTCAAACATCTGGGGAATACCAGTCATAACAAGAGGGGAGATGTTTCTGACTGGAGCAGGGCATCCTGGCGTACAATGTTGCTTTGTTGCAGGTGCAGTTTTAATCACTGCTCTGCTCAGAGTGATGTGGAGCTGCATTGTGGTTAGGTAAAAACTATTGGCCACGGAGGAGCAACTCATTTTCTCTCCATGTGCCCAGAGCTTTTATAAACGCTTTACTTTAATAGAGACGGAGTCATGAAAAGAAAAATGAAGCTTGTTGCTGAGCTGTGTTGTTCCAAAAATAAAATATTTGTGCAATTAGGGGTGAAGATTGTGCAGTACACAGAGAATGATTTGATAAGTGGCAGACCATTTGTAATTAAGATTAGGAGGACAGCATGGCTGGGAATTGAAATGAGAGAAGAATGATATATTTTAGCTTAGAGGATGATTAATTGGCGAATCAGGATGTTGAATTTATACCAGCTTTGTTTATTGAAATACCACTCATTTGGAAGCTTGGGTCTTTCAGGAGGACTTTCCATTTCTAATGAATACATGGCCATGCTTTTTGCAAAGGAATTATTCAAAGTATATCCCACAACAGAAATGTTACCAGTTCAAAGTGTGCAAGTGCCTTTCTCATCAATGCAATCCATAAAAATTATGGAAATTCCTAAAATATAAGCCATATTTGCCTTCATGGATTACACCTTTACTCTCAGCCTACCATAGCTGGAGCCTGTTGAAAAAAGCAAATTGTATCTTGTCATAATTGAAATGTGTTACTCTTTTGCTTGCGATTTGGAGAAAAAATATTTTTTCTCCCTTGTTTTTTTTCAACTCTTTCTTAGTTCTGTGTTTCTGCAGAAGCACAGGGAGAGAAAGAGGAGGTGGAGGGTGAGATGGAGGGGCTCAAACCTTTGAGATTTTTATTTTGAACTGTGTTGCAATGTACTTTCCCCATGATCAAAACTTTTCATCCAGACTGAACCACGATTGTTGTTGTTAGTTTGTTATTGCAGCCCATAAATGAGAATTTTAAATCTAAAAATCTCAGTCTTTTGGAGAACATTCAGTTTTCAAGGTGGGGGGGAACCTCTTTAATTCTTTGACATGTTCTGTAGTAGGCTTCTGAAGGGAGATATTTGCAGTGATTTTCCCAAGAAAAATGAACTTAAGAATCTGATAGGAATAAACTTGCTGCCAGTTAGGGAACTGTTGGGACATTTAAGGCACAGATTTAAAAGCCCAAACTTCCCACACATCTTAGCGGATTCCCAGTAGCACAGAGGGATCCCAGGAGAGAAGCAGACCAGGAGAGTTCACAGCTGCGTAAGTCAGCAAAAGAAATCAAATTCTGATGTTGTCCCTGCCCCTGTTAAGCCAGCTGCTTCTCAGAAAGTGATTTCATCTTCTCACAGCTTCCCCTGAGCAAACATCACAGCAAAAATACTAGGAATTGTGTTGTTTCCCTAATAAAATAAAACAGCTTTGCCTATTGTAGAGTTCTGTGGACAGAGAAAGCTCAAAGCTTTTCTCAGAGGAAAAGGGTGCAAAGTAGCAATTAAAAAGGAAATTATTTGAACTACTTCATATTCCCAGGTCTGCTCCTAACTACTTGGAAACCCAAATCCTCTGTAAAAAGGTGCTTTCAGTCCAAAGCAGATAGCCAAATGCTTTTTGAAATGAGTATTTCCGTCTCTACCGTAACTCCAAATCTTAATGCAGCTTTATATATGGATTCCCTGCTGACAGTGTGGTGGTGGGATGTTAGGGAAGTTAAAGATGGAGCCTGGGGCAGGAAGGTGTGAGGATGAGTGAGACTGATCTTGCACTCTGCCGTCTGACCACAACCATGCAAGCTTTGCAGGCCATGAAAAGAGTGCCAGCAGAGCTATGGGAGCTGCTATGCATTGTAACAGTCTGTGAAGCTGTCCCACAGCCCTGAGTCCAGAGGTCTTCTACAGAGACCTGCCTCCTCCCTCCCTGCAAGCCTGACCTATAGCAGGTACTGTGCTGTCACGCTGGGCTTGTTGGTGGTGAGATCCCTGTATAATGACAACTGAACTGGGGGGGCCTGTGTCTGTGTGGTTGGGCTTGCAACAGCAGGATGATCTTTCCATGGACTCCCAGGGACAGGTGTGAGGAGTCCATGTTCCATTGGTCACAGTCCCACCACAGCAGCCGTGGTCTGACTGAGCCCTCATTTGCCCTCCCAGCAAGAGGGATGCTGATGGGAGCAGCTGAGTTACAAATGGGGCACGGGGTGGGAGTGGGCTGGAGCCTCCCTTCTCCTTGGAGGAGACCCCATCCCCTTCTCACCCTTAACACACCGCATGAGGCAGAACTGAGGGCTGTAATTCTTGCAGAGCTCTGTCCATCCCCACTGCTACCTCTGTGCATCCCATTAATTTGCTGCAGGTCCTTCTTCCCCATCATCTGCGACATCATACTGGGGACGTCCTGCAGGCCAGTCCCAGCCAGGCACAGGGACTGCAGCGCGTCCCACTTTGGGGCAGCATTAAATAGCACGTGAACAGCAACGGGCAGAAAAGCTGAACTGGTTCTTGCTGTAAAACAGGCAAAACAGGAAATTTTAGGGAAGAATGGACATTCTTTATGGGTTTCTTCTTTTTGGAACTGTTAGAAATGTTTAAGATTTTCCTGCAGATGTCAGTATTTTAATTCTCCTGCAATGCTGCTGTTTTCTCCGTCAGAATGGCTCCTGCCGGAGCAGAGTCTCCAGGGCTGTAGTTGATGGCTCACATGCAATACCTGGTTCTTTAACTCCCACTCACTCAAGACAGAGCAGCTCTTTCTATCAAAGGTGATACACAGAATTCACTGCTGTATTATTTGTGGTCCTCGAAGCCAAGACCTTGAGAAAAGCCATTATCTGATCCTTGGAAACATTTGGCACCTGTTGGAAGAGCAGGGCTCACCCTCCTGAGCTAAACTGTCCCTTTTGAGGTTCAGCGCAGTGTAGGTGCCAGCTGGCTCCCGGGTGTGTCCCTTCCACCCCAGAGGCAGTTGTATGTCAGTGGTGAAATGCATGTGGGTGACATTTTTTAAGCTCACTTGTCACTCAAAGCATAGCGAGGGCCAGAGAGCTTTGGCTACCAAGTTGTTTCACAGTAATCAATCTGTAAAAGCGTGACATGAGGAGCTGCTAGCATCAAGTGTTCAAAATCTGGCCGTTTCTTTGAAAAGTGCTTTTGATTTCTGGACAAAAGGTGTTAGAGAAATGTAGATGTTATCATTCGTTATGAGCAATTTCCACTGCGCAGCCATAAAGCTATCCAAAGAGCAGATACACCCATCAAAAACTTTGGCAATAGCCGCAAGGTACATTCTTCTAGCAAATAGTTTTCCCACATGTTTGCTCTTACTGAGGGCACACATTATCTTCCTCTGAATCAGACGGCTTGTTTTGCTCGTTCTTTCCAGGGAAGAAGTGCTAGAAGTTTTTAGACCCATTTGTGGAGTTGCAGATGGGGAAGGGTTGCCACAAGCTGCAGTCATCCTCACAGGAACAGTGCTGGTGTGCTGTGCGTGGGGTTGCAAATTGATGGGCGAGGGCTGGTAAAGCCTCACCACCTGGAGAGGAGAGCATCTCTCTTCCTTCTGTGTTTATTTTGTCAGCCTCCTGCTTCCAGCCCTGATTAGCTGCAGATTCTTTCAGTGCTTAAACCCAAACCATATTGGCTAAATGTAGTAAATGGATCGGATTTAAAAAAAAAAAATAAATCCACAGATAATTCCACTTCTGCCTAAGCACGGTGCAGAGATTGCCTAATCCGTGCAATTTCCAGTAGGAGCGCTTCAGAAGTGATATTGCGTGTCACTGAGTGTAAGGAAGAAAAAGAACAAAACCCCAATCTTCCCTGCTTTGCTTTAGCTCCAAGGGAGATCCAGTTACTCTTTTTCATGCCACCTTAAGGTAGCGAGTCCAGCAATATCCAAGTCCTGCCTCGGCCCTGTTAGGATAGTTATTTCATGAAAGGAAATAAAACAAATGACAGTTTAATCCTTCCCTGAAAGCTCTTAGGACACAGATGGCTAACTAGCCATAACAGGGACACTGTTCCTGGTGAAGTGAACAAAAAGTAAATGCCTTACTGTATAATAAATAACCCCAGTCAGATGTTCTTGTTCCATTTTGTTGATAAATTGCTGCATAATCATGGGTGAAGGAAAAATAGCTCAATAATTTTAATTCGTCTTTCCTTTTCAATGCTTAAATATCATGTAAAGAAATTTAAAAGAAATTACTGTTTTTCTTGGCAAAAAAGACTTTAAAAATGTCACCAAAGCAGCCTGAATCTTAGATCTATTATCTCTCTCTTTTTTACTTTTTTTTTTTTTCTTTCTGAGAGGCTTTTCCTTTTTCTCTTGAGGTAATGAATGTTATTGAGTGGGGGTCCAGCAGAGGTTAAGAAATGGGAGAATTTCCCTCCAGGGAGGAGATGAGAGGGAAAATGAACCTCGTGACAGATGTTAGTTACATTGCTTAATGCACTACTGGAAGACACTCAGATGCTCTGGAAATAACCTATTACAGCCACCACAAGCTGCAGTGCACAGCGCTAATGTCATCCAAAACCTCCCCTTTAAGATTATCTCTTTCACTGTCTTATAACTTTGCCAAATTTAATCATTTAGGCTGAACTTCTTCATGCCAGGTTTTTGCCTGTAGCTAACTATT